CGCGCGAAATTAAGAATAAAGAGACAGAGAGAGAGAGGGAGACAGGTGTTCTTGGCAAAAAACCTTTTTCGTTCTAACGAAGTCGCGTTCCACGGTCTCCGTGATAATTATCCCCGGTAATTCCGCCGATCCGCGGCGCGACCGGACGATCCGGATCTTCCCGCTGTAGAAGAAACAACGCGCGGCAACCAAGGCCGCGATAGGGCACCGCGAAGAAATTATATTCGAAACGTGTTACGCGTAGAGCTGCCTAGCCACAGGTGCCGCGATATTTAATTTTAGCACGGTAGGCGTTATCCTTGACTAGCGTCGCGCGAGCGAGCGAGCGCATGCCGCTCGGAAAGGTGCGCCCGCGTGCGCCAACACAGCTTTCGCAGCCGCTAAATGTATTCCAAACATTCCGGCGGCGTCTCATTAAGGCGTTCGACGGGAATAATGGGGAAACGTCCCGCGACTGCGTTCGGGAAAATTTATGCAATACGTTACTCGTTAACGGTCGGCCACGTATTACACGGAGATGAGAAGTTGTACGGCTGCCTGCTGCCCACGGGACAGGGGGATCGTCCACTTGCCGTGCTCTGTTCAATAGCTGCAGCAACAGTGATGCCTCGGTTTCGATGAGAGCCGGCAGCTCGAGAGCTGACAGTAATCTGAAACGCACGTCGTTGGTCAGTTTTCATGTTTTCTCGTCGCATTTTCAATGCTAATGTGCTATTCGTCGATACGATTTCACTTAACCGATCAACGATGACTTGCTGTGTCGATCTAATTGTTAGTTCTGACGCAACGAACGGTACGGTAGGATCTGGGCCAATCGAATCGCTAATTTTGAGACTTAGGCGAGCTGGGTAATATAGGTTCTACTGTATTTCATCTGTGAAACGAGAAGAGAATTTGTAATAACCCTTTGCACTCGGGAGATGAATTGGTTACAATATTTGATTAAACAGCAAAATGATAGAAGTATGATTATTTGTATTAACATATTAGTATAAGATTCTTTGTATTTGTCGCAAGAAACGTCGTCGATGTATCAGAGAATAATAAAGAAGGTCTACTACATACTATGTATTAACGAGTCTTCTTAGAGCTTTGTCGCGCGGCGGACTACGCGAAAAAGCTCGGACAAAAGGTGTAAGTAGGAAAGCGCACAGCGAATCGGTGAAATCTCATTCGCCGTGTACTCATTACTAGCCAGCGGCGCGTGGGAGTCACAATAAAATGTTTATTGCGTTATTCATTACGGATCCTGGCGAGGGGGATCGCGGGCGAACGGAAAATTCAATCCAACGGATGACAACGCGCGCGGTTGCGATAATAAAAACGCGTGAACGTGAAACGCGGGTCCGTCACGGTCAAGGAGGTGTCCCTGATCAGCCCGTACCCCGGCGCGCAGTGACGCCGATGGAACGTTACGAAACAATCATTAATCACGAGAAAATATGAAATAGCCGTTTAATAGCGTCAGTGGGTTGTATCACAATGCGAAACCGGCCGTAAATCATAAAACGCAAAGTGTCGTAAACGTCAGTCACCGTAAACGAATTAATCGTCCACGGATCCGAATGCCTAGATACGCGCGATGGAAGAACGTCCAGCGGGCGGAAGACCGGGAGGAACAGAGGGGAGAAGGAAGCTAGCAAGAAAAACGGCGGAGGAACAGAGAAAATCATTCGATACCGATCTTAAGTCGCCCATTTCCAACGCCGTCTTCAATCCTGAGAAATCTCACGCGTCCGCTGCGCTGGAGGGAGCGAAGTGTTCGGTGCGTGAAGTTCGAAGTTTAATTGCTCCATTTGCACAGTTTCCGCGGCGAACAAAAGCTAGGCGGCCGAGCGGCAGGTGCCGGAAACGCGCGTAACGCGCGGCCGGTTCGGTGCACGGTGGAGAGGAAGAATAAGCTCGAAATTTATTTAAATTGCACCGCGACGAAGAGGGAGCGGGGTTTATCGCGGGCATCGCGATTTCTACAATGGCCGGCCTCCTTATATTAGGAAAGCGACGGGCAACGATCTTTTCGCCGGGTTTACACGTCCCGGGACGCCGAGGTGTGGATATCCGCGCCGAATGGCGGCGACCGGTGGGGGGAGGGAGGCTGGACGCGACACGAGCGTAACTCGTCCGTTGTAAACGGTGCATTAGTGAAAGTGGCGCGGCCGATTACACCCGATAACGCGCCGTTGCTTGGAACGGACGTGTCCGGTGCCGCGGCACGATGCTTTATTGGTGCGATCGCCTCCGCCGATACTTTCCTCTTGTTCCACGGTGACCTTCCACGGCCGATCGACCGAGCGCCGCTCTTTTCTTCCGCGCCTGGGTACATCTTATCGGCGATCAGGCCTCGCCGCCTCTGTCGCGGCGGGACCACGCGCGAGGTCACGCACCGGGTTCACCTGATGAAACTTAGGTCGCTGGTTTCGGGAACATGCGGCGACTGCGCACGATTTCGAAATCAACTTTTTCTTCGGCGAGGCGGATGTTCGAGATGTGTTCATTGGTTGCTTGATGAATTTCTAGAACTCGGTTGACGGAGAATTGTTCGACGAATGTTTCAGTTGGTTAAAGTCGTGAAGCAAGTGACGTTGCTCGATAATCCGTTTTCGATTCTTCTTTGGCGTTGAGAGAAAATCACCTCTTGATCTTCTATTTCAGCCGCCACTAAAGTCTAACAGTTTATATCTGTTTCCTAGAGTTTTTTATTCACCGCGATTATACTGGAACGTGGAAGTTTAATGTACGAGATAACAAAACCATCATCGCGAACAGGCCGCGAGAGAGTCAACGATAACTCAATCCGTGCGGGGACTGCGGAAAACAGGTCTGAACCGATCGGCAAGAGCAATATCGCGGAAAGCACGCCGTAAAGCGTCCGGTATACCACGACGGGATGCAAAACGAAAATGTTTCAAACAAGACCGAACAACCGGGAGAAAAACTAGGATCCCGATAGCGACGTTTATAGCGGAGAAAGTAAAAAATCCGGATAGCCCTAAAGATAAGCGCATTACGAACCACCGGAACCGGCAGCAGACATCCCGCCCGGCTCCTGTCCGGGCAAATAAAAGATATCCGGGCGACAATCGTAAGGGAAGCATTTAACGACACTGGAAACGCGTAAAACGAGTAATTCGGTGGGAGCACGCGACCGACACGCTCCGCGTCGCGAGCCACTGCCGGCGTGCGGGCAAAACGAAGCAGGCGACTTGCCGATTAACGTTTAGAAGAAGCGAAGTCAAACGACGTCTCAGTGAAAGTAATTACGTAAACGAGCGTTGCGGCGCGGCGGAGAACGAAAACCGAGATGGAGAACAAAAGAAACGAGCCGGTCGCGCGTTGTTGTCCCTGTGGATTTCCAACGAAATCGGCCGATCGGCGGAAAACGCGCTCGGATCGTTGTCGTTTCGCGCCGGGTTTCCTATTAGCGACCGCGCGCCGGACCTTTCACCGTGGCCGAGAGCTGGCGAACGCTCGTTTTTCTCTTTCGCATGAAATTGTTACATCGCGCGGGTCTCTTATCTGGGTCTCAGGCCGTTGCCGGTTTCACCGCCTTGGAAAGGTCGCATCGTTGCGCGATAAGCTTTGCCGAGCACCGCGGTAATTGCGTTCTCCCTATCGCAGAGAAAGAGAGAGAAGGAGAGCGAGAGAGAGAGCCAGGAAGAGGAAACGTCAGGGAAAACGAGAGTAAGAAAGATTGCGAGAATTGTTAATGTGTCCTTAGCGGCGAGTTTACGCCGGGAGGCGACCGTCGAATTTTAGGTTAAGACTCTTAGAAAGCGGCAGGAATCGAACGCGTTCTAACGCTGGACGTTCATAATTCTTTGACGACTTTCGCGGCCGGCCGGCCAGGCCTCGCCGCGTATAGTCGGCGCGGCGTTTACTTTCAACGAATTTCACGGCAATTCGTTGGCAATGAGATTAATGAGTCGCGCGGTTGGAAAGGTGAAGCGGTACCGCCGCAAGTGTATGAAACGATCCCGTGATTTTTCCGTCGTGCCGATTCCGTTCTCGGTGGGGATCGGAATCGATTTCGTTCGCCGGGTATCGTTGAATGAACCTGGAACTTAATCTTGTAGGTGTAACGCGTGAAACTACGTTCCGAAAGACTCGCCGTTGAGTAGGTTATTTCCTGTTTGCATGATGGAGCGGTTCCGACGTTCACTTTACAGGGAGAGGTAAATTAGAGTTGAATTTTTAGTGTCGCAGGGTACGGTCGGTGTCGATCGTTTCGCTTTCTGGTTAATTAGCGGAGTGGATATACTAGGTCGATAGGGAAGTGTCTTGAGTGTAATTGCGAGCAAAAGTATGATCGGCCAAACGCATGTTTGCCGGGGATTCTTATCAGGGAACTATGGATAGTTATTATCGGGGAATTTTATGGATCGAGAGATGAAATTTATTCGTCTGCGACTCACGTTTATAAAACTACCCCTATCCATAAATCCGCGTTTCTCCCCCGAAAATGCTGCCGCATAATTCTGTTGAATTCTGTGCAACCGCAGGAAGTCCATGTTCCGATAATGCAATCATTACGAATTTATATTCAACAGATGCTATCTTAGCAGATTTCAGAAGGACAACGCGGAAAGTTGGGCCAAGCTTTCGGCTGGAAAGAAACGGTTCCTCGTGACGCTGGTATCCATTCCGGAAGACGCGCCGCCCGGTCGCGTCCGAGATTAATCGTCGGCATTAGCGGGATTTATCGGGCGTGCATCGTTTCGTCCGCGGCGTAACGTGCCCCCACGGGCGCCTCGATATCGTCTCGTTATTCAAAACGACATTTTGACCGTTTCCACGGTTCTTGGTTCGCAGATGCCTCCGTGCGGCCGTCCGTTCGCTCCTCGTCCTCGCGAGGTCTCACGGTGCCTGAACATCTCGATGTGACATCTTGATGAACCCGCTCGCCACATGGGAACGCGCCGGAAATTTCGTGTTGCGCGTGTGTGTGTGCGCGATGATACAAACGTTCCTTCGACGTTCACCAAAATGGCGCTCGGGGAACAGTGGACGAGCCCGAGGAATATGCGCCGACAACTAAATCTGCATCGTTTCGAATGTTTGAATAAATTTTATAAGAAATGATGTTTGCATTGCAAAACGTGTTTCGTAATTGCAAGATGTTAAGAATATATTATTTCTTCCGTTTAAAAGTCTTCTTCTAAGATCGGCGATTTGAGGCTTGGAACTTTCAAAGGAAAGTTTGAGGCACGAATTCAGTGAGGACGATGTAATCGACGGGGGTAATTGTTTATTCGAAAAGGTGCTAGTTTCCTCGAAATTCGACGTGCTTCTTCTGCGGCAGAGAAGCTCGAGGAAGCCAGCGGAATGTTATAGAAGGATTGAAGACAATTGGTTCGTGTAAACTGTTTACACGAATACATCACGAGAAGTAAGAGTGAGAAGTGTTGTTGAAGCAAGAATGGAAAATTTTGTGTTTCCCTGTAGATGCTAACAGTAAGTCCGTATATCCTGTCCCGCGGACAAGCCGGGTTTCATTAAACGGATCCTGAATCTGCATGAACGCCATTGTTTTGAAGGAGCTCCTTTGAATTCTGACTGAAACGAAGAGCGCGTGACTCAGCCTGAGAAGATACAGATATATCTGCGTGCCAGAGAATGCACCACTCACTGTGCGACCGCGGCAATCTCTCGC